ACGCCCACTCCTTCCCACCTCTGCTGTCTGCATCGCTTCACCACGCAGTGTTCCTCCCTCTTGTTGTAGTAATTCGTTCTTATGCCTTGGTTCCTAAACCTCAAAACCCTGTACACCTGTTTTACTACGACGGCAGAGCTCATATCTGTCACTACGCAATCTTAATCTGTACAGTCTTTGTCAGTCCTTTGAATTTGCTTGCCTTGCTATAGGCCTTCCGAGCTCATCAATCCTAGTAGTAAGTTCCAGCCGGCCAAAGTCCGTAAACAAGGATTTGAGCCTCTCGTCTCGTCACGTCCATCTCACTCACCCACACAGGAATCTCTTCAATAATTCTCTCACGGGCTCCATTCCCGACAGCATCTATGCGCTCACGAACCTCCAATACCTGTAAGAGGCACACTGGGTTTGCTCCACCTACGTGCTGCTCTGTCCACTGGGTGCTGCATGCCATGTGCGCATCACTGCTGGCACTCCTCCTCTGCCCATGCACTCTGCACGCCCACTCCTTCCCACCTTTGCTGTCTGCATCTCTTCACCACGCCGTGTTCCTCCCTCTTGTTGTAGTAATTCGTTCTTATGCCTTGGTTCCTAAACCTCAAAACCCAGTACACCTGTTTTTCTACCACGGCAGAGCTCATATCTGTCACTACGCAATCTTAATTTGTACAGTCTTTGTCAGTCCTCTGTATTTGCTTGCCTTGCTATAGGCCGTCCAAGCTCATCAATCCTAGTAGTAAGTTCCAGCCGGCCAAAGTCCGTAAACAAGGATTTGAGCCTCTCGTCTCGTCATGTCCAACTCACTCACCCACACAGGAATCTCTTCAATAATTCTCTCACGGGCTTCATTCTCGACAGTCTTTGTCAGTCCTCTGCTTGCTTGAAGGCCACACACTGGCTGATTCAGCTTCCATACAATGTCTGGTGGAAAAGAAGCTGGAAATCCTTCGGGCCACTCCATATAGATTTCCTCTAGATGAGGAGCGAGAGCAGGAGCAGAGGAAGGATGGGGGGCGAGTGGGGGAGCAAGTTGGGGAGGGGAGGGGGAAGGAAGGAGCGGAGGAGACTGCTTGGTGTTGGAGGGGGAAGTGGGAAGAGATACTTTGGCGAATCTGAGTTGTGCCCGAGGTATACACACGTGATTGTTTTGGGAGCAAGCTTGCCGCCAGCTTCACGACGGGCTTGGGAGTTGAGGAGGACATAGGATGTGCACTCCCATACACGTAGAGGGCGGGCGGACGGCTTTTGACCCGTCCACAGCTCAGCGGGGGTGGTGTGGGTGTGATGAGGGTGAGGATGGAGACTGTGGAGGGCGGCAGCGTGGAGCATGGCGTACCCCCAAAGAGAGGGAGGGGCGGAGGCGGGAGTGAGGAGGCAGCGAGCAATCTGCACTAAGATGCGGTTCCGACTCTCAGCAACACCGTTCTGTTGGGGACTGTCCGGGAGAGTGAAGGTCTGACTGATACCTCAGTGGAACAGAAGGCTTTGAGAGTGTTGTTGCGGAATTCACCGCCACCGTCAGAGTGAAGGAACTTGATGGTGGTTTTGAAGTGTTTATGAGTCTGCTTGGCCCATTCAATGATGACGATTGGGGCTTCAGACTTGGAGAAGAGGAGGTGGACAGACCCATAGCGGGAATAGTCATCAATGATGAGAAGGAAGTAGAAATGTTCGCCACAAAAACGAACACGAGCTTGACCCCTAAGGTCCATGTGCACGCGATCGAGAGGTGCAGTGGAAATGGACTCAGTGGGGGGATGGGGTTGTTCACGAAGCTTGCTCTGTGCACAATGAGGGCAAGGCGGCCCGAGGTTGGAGGCAGGAGAGGGAAGTGAGGCTGGAAGTTTGTGGAGAAGCTGTTTTGTGGCAAGGTCCGAAAGCGCGCGGAAGTTGATGTGGCCGAGGCGGTGATGGAAGAGCATGGTTTTGTCGGAAAGGAGACGGCAGTGACAGGGAGAGGAGTCTGAGGAAGGGAGCGGAAGGTGGGTGAGTGAGCACGTTTGAATGGGAGGGACAACGAGCGTGTAGAGATTGTTGGAGTTGAGGGTGAAGCGGGCTAGATGAATACCGATTTTGGCATCAAAAACATCACAGTAGTCGACACCATTGGGAACGATGGTGATCACTCCTGCATGTTGGATTTCACGCTGTGCCAGGAGGTTGTAGCGGAGGGTTGGGGCACAGATGCCAGTGACTGTGCCGGATGGGAATGCTGGACAAGGAACTGTGGAAGACCCATAACATTGGATGTAGAAGCTAGAATCTGCTCCAAGGAGTGGGTTGGGGGCCTGGTAGGGAACGAATGCGGTTTGGTCTTTGAGTACTATGTGGGTGGCACCACTGTCTAGTATGAACTCGATCCCCTGTGTGTTTGAAACACCGATGTACTGCGATCCCTTCTCATTAATAATACCACCACCAAAGAACAACAGATTGAGGCGAACATCAGATGGGCCGCTAGCAAGTGCCTCAGCAGGTTCCTCTACTGCCTCGACCTGATTCACGGGGTGGGGCCCAGTTGGGAGGACGCTTGTTGGTGGAGACACTGTGGACGTCATACCACTCGTCATCTCGCTTCTTGAAGCAAGTTGCCCCAGGGTGGTTGGTGCCTCCACATTTCTGCCTTGCACGTGGACCCATCCTAATGATGTAGGGGCATGGGGGAAACGAGTTGCGCCTCGATCCCTGCTGGGAGCGGAATGGGATACCAGGGGTGTAGCGCACAGCATTGACGGATGCTTGTGCCGCAAAGTCCTTTTCAGCAGAGAGAAGGGCCGATGCGACTTTCTCGAAAGTGAGTTCCTTGGTGGGGAGCTGCTTGAGCATGGAACTGGTGACATTGTAGGCCGAGGTAAGACCTACGAGTAGCCCACCTGCAGGTGCTTGTTCGGGGAAGTTGACCCCGATGTCCTTGAGTTCCTCGTGGATGTTACGAATTTCTGAAAGGTAGTCCGCCATGCCCGGGCATTCGTCAAGGCGGATCTGGAACATTCGAGGGATGAGGATGGCAACTCCCACTGCGGTCTTGTCATGGAAACGGTCCTGGAGGTGCTTCCAAATCTCATGAGCGGAGCGAAACGTGCGGTAGGATTTGACAAGTTCAACGGGAGTGGTGGTGACATGAAAACCCTAATGACCCCTGCATCCGCGTGCTCCCACACACTGAAATCGGTCTCATACTGGGTAGTCTTAGCCTCGAATGCGGTTTTGGCTGTGGCAGTGGCTCCTTCGCCAAGAGGATCGGGAGGGAGAGGCATCTTTCCCTTGCCACAGTTGAGTAGGATGTCCTTAAGGCAAATCCCCTTCAGTTCCGTGCTAAGGAGGTGCTTCTCCACTCCATAGCACCATTCCCAAAGTTGGTGCTCGTGCTGTTGGGAGCGAGATTGAGAACGATGAGATTTCCGATGAGGGTGGAAGTTGAAGTCGCCATTTTGCACGTAGCGCAGCGCTAAAGTCTCCGATACGTCGAAAAGCGGAGTGATGTGATGTGCGGAGCGGCGATTTTGAAAATTAGGAAGTCTAAAACGCGATTTTGGCAACAGAAAAACCTGGAATGTGATGTGCTGCTCTGCTTCGCCGATGCCCCCTGATCTGCTTCGCCGCTGCCCCCCTTTTCCGCTGCTCTACTGCGTCGCTGACCCGTTCCGCTTCTCTGCTGCGCCGCTGACCTGTTCCGCTGCGCCGCTGACCTGTTCTTCTGCGCCGCTGAACATGTTCTGCTGCGGCGATGAACCTGTTTTGCTGCGCCGCTGAACCTGTTCTGCTGCGCCGCTGAACCTGTTCTGCTGCGCCGCTGAACTTGTTCTGCTGCGCTGCTGAAAACCTGTTCTGTTGCGCCGCTGAAAACCTGTTCTGCTACGCCGCTGAAAACCTGTCCTGCTGCGCCGCTGAAAACCTGTTCTGCTGCGCCGCTGAAAACCTGCTCGAAGAGATTGGGAAAAACGAGAAATTTCCAGACAGAGATGTAAAATTTCAGAAGCTTACGATGAATGCATGGGATAGAAGAAATCGACGCTGAAATCGGAAGTGCGCTAAGACAGAATGTGAGTGCGCTCTTGAATGGCGTGAAGACGTCAAGTCGGAAGACGCTAGGCGTAGGAGCCGAAAACTGAAGGAGGTATAGAAGAACTGAAGAGAACCATTACGACGCCAAGGATCAGATTCCGCGTGAGTGGAATTTACTTGCTCTGATACCATGATAGAAATGGAGCTGAACAAATTAATTAATAGAGAAGGCACTAGGCCTAAGTACAAACGAGGTTGGGTTGGGAAAAGCTAGGGAAAGGATGGGATGGGAATCCTAGCAAATCTCCAATTGGTGAGTTGGCAAATTTGCAGGATTACGAGGTAGTCCCAACCAGATAGGGCTGGGATTACAAACTACACCCAACCCGCAAATAACTTACGCGATATAGAATATAGTACACCAAGTGTTGACAGCCTATTTCTAACATCAACGTATTGACGTGAAGAGACATTTTTGCACACGACCAGTGCGTCGTCATAACGTTGCGCAGGAGTTTTGGGAACGCTCTATTGCACACGATTATTTTTGCACTTAGTGTGTCCCTCTACAAACACGGACCCTTGGTTAGGGGCTGGCTTTACCAGGCACCCGTGGACCCTTGGAGGTGACCTTGTGGGGACTACTAAGTGTGAATTAAAGGTGTGCTTAGTAGCTTCTAGATCCCAATAGGTGTTAACAACTTAATGGTTGCTGCACACCATGTGCGCATCAATGCTGGCACTCCTCTACTGCCCATGCACTGTGCACGCTCTCTCATCTACCCCTTTGCTGTCTGCTCCCATTTCCACTTCACGCTTTTAGAGTACTCACAGCTTCCACTACACCACCCTGTAATCTCAGTCGGTCCTCTACATTTGCTTGCCTTTCTCTATCCCTTCTTAATTGAGAAATCCTTTTAAGCTCCAGCCACTGTCTGCAGACAGGTTTGAACCTCTCTCTCATTTCACCACGACCAACTCACCTACCCACTCAGGGATTTTGGCAGTAACAGTCTTGCGGGCTCCATTCCCGACAGCATCTCGGCTCTCACGGCACTCTCACACCTGTAAGAGGCACAATGCGTCTGCTCTCATTGGGTGCTCCACTGGCACTGCCCATGCTCTTGGCATGCCCACTCCCCCCCCCCCCCCCCCCCCCCTCTCTGCTGTTTGCATCACTTTGCCACTCCTAGCTCGTATGTGCTGCATCAACCTTCTGACAGCTTCATCAGTTCAGCAGAGCTCACAACTGCCACTACACTAGCTCAGCATGTACAATCACAGTCCTCTCCATTTGCCTTGCTTTAGCCCTTTTAAAATGATCATGCCTTCCAAGTTCCAGCCACCCGGACAGGGATTTGAGTCTCTCCTCTCATCACGTCCAACTCTCTCAACCCCACACAGGGGTCTCAACTCCAACTCTCTCAACGGCTCCATTCCCTACTACATCTTCGACTGGCTCGATGCACTCACATACCTGTAAGAGGCACCCTGAGTTTTCTCTTTCTATGTGCATATCATCACTGCTGGCCAAGGAGCATAACGTTTTATTTTCCCCGTTCCAGACTCTTTCTGGAACAAAACGTTTTCATAACAAATGACTATTTTGGTGGGAAAAAAGCACCTACTATTTTTCTTGTTAGGTTTCTAACCTGCTGTTGTACTAGATAAGAGATGAGCAACTGGCGAACTCAAACGTGTTTGAGTCGAAAATGCCGAACATGTCTTGCAACCGAACCGAACATCAAACATTTTTGTAGGTTTAGGGGTGTTCGATGTTCGTTTTGTAGGGGCGAACATTTCACAGATTTCCCGATCATCACCATGTTCGAGGCGAACCCGAAGATGTTCGGTTCGTAGATGGGGTTTCCCTAAGTCATCCTAGAGACTGCTAGGCTGGGGAGCCTAGTGAAAAAAAAAAAACGCAATGTCGGTGGGAGAATGATGGGAAACACAATCGGTGTATTGTGGTTGGGTTGGGTTTTTCTTCCTGGGCTGACGGGAAACACAATAGGTGGGGTGCGAGAATGTTTTCAATATTTCACATTTCACACTTTCGAATTGATCGGCATTGGACTCTATTCGCGACGGCGATTTCGCAAAATTTGCCCAACTAGCCAGCCCATCCATCCCACCCAAAACCGGCAGTACCACAACGCACCTCCTAAATCCAACCAGGCTTCATACACAAAACTAACGCAAGCAAAAACACACACTCACTTCACACGTTAATCTACTCCCGCTACTACGCTATACCTAATCCGCACACTTCATCCAACTCTGAGGAATATATATGTCGGAAACTCCCCTCTTTGTCACTTGTTGCCTCTTTCACCTACCTCCCTTGTGCCGTGCCACCTTGCTCTCTCACCGTACTGCTCAGGTGCCTATGTTTCCGCCTGCCCCTTCCCTTTTGCCTTCCTACCTCTTCCCCCCCCCTCTCTCACTGTCCTGCCTCTAATTCCGCCTCTCCCCTCACGGTACCACCCCTCTCTGCCCTGCTTCCACGTCTCTTAGTCCCTTTACCCCACCTTCTCCTTCCCGTTGCCTTTGTTCTCTCCCTTCTCGGTACCTCCTTATGCCAAGCTCCCTCCTAACTCATCTTGACTGCTGTTATGGCTTCGTGCTAGAGCTGCTTATCTTGGAGAATGTTGCAGTAATTCACGAAAACAAACACGCAGTGGCAGTCCCATGGCCCAGGACCTTGCCTTAAGCTTCCCAACACAAACCCTAGCAAGGCTAGCCTAACAATGCAACAGTGCTAAGCTGCCTAGCTTGCCATCCACACTGCCTTCCCTCCCATCTCCAGCTGGCGTTGCTGCCTTCCAGCTCTGTCCTGGACTCGATGTCTGCAAGAAGAAACCAAAGCACACACATGCATACCACACATCATACATCACATTCCCCACCCGCACCCCCATCCACGTCATCTCGCTGCCAACCGTGCCAGCACACCCCCACCCTTCGCTACTGCCGCCCTTCCCCGAATTCAATCCCTCGCACCCACCTTCCTGCCACCTGCCTCCTCCTGCCACGCCGCTGCCGTTACAGTTCCTCGCCACAGTCTGCTTCCGCCTTTACCCTCCGCTACACCCTCTGTCAGGATTTCTTAGGTGTTAGCCTCAGAATTCTGACAGCTGTCGGAAACTCCCCTCCTTGTCACTTGTTGCCTCTTTCACCTACCTCCCTTGTGCCGTGCCACCTTGCTCTCTCACCGTACTGCTCAGGTGCCTATGTTTCCGCCTGCCCCTTCCCTCTTGCCTTCCTACCTCTTCCCCCCCCCTCTCTCACTGTCCTGCCTCTAATTCCGCCTCTCGCCTCACGGTACCACCCCTCTCTGCCCTGCTTCCACGTCTCTTAGTGCCTTTACCCCACCTTCTCCTTCCCGTTGCCTTTGTTCTCTCCCTTCTCGGTACCTCCTTGCCCCCTCCCATGACACATGGCTGCCGTCCTCGCGCGTGTCATGGGACCCTGAGTTACGCTTTTGCTCTTCTCCGAGCGTATCCTGGCCACATTGGTGACGTGATCGGCCACCCGCTTTCCCTTCCCATCCTCCAACACTATCACTCCTGACGGTCGCACCTCCTTCACCTTCCATCGCTGCTGAGATAGCCCCACGTCCAGGGCATGCTTCCTCTGCCGCCTCAGATAGACCTCCTCCTCCTCCTGCACTCCTGCCACCGCCCCTTTCCCGTTTGCCTCCTGCCGCTGCTTGTACCTCTCTATATCCCGCAGCTGGGCGACGTGCAGGTTCTCCAGCGCTGCCGAGAGCAAGTGCCTCAGATACGACGCTCGTGCATCCGCCACGGCCACCCACTTCTCTGCCGAGCCCGTGGTGACCACGTCTAAGAGTAGCCTTGGTGCCCCCACTGGCATGACGGGCTCCTTGCCAAACAGCAGGTAGTAGGGCGACACGTCCTTAAAGGCCGCTTGCTTACTGAAGCGATAACCTGCCATGACCCAGCAAAGCATTCTGTCCTAGTCTTGCTTGTGCTCCTCCTCGTAAGCCCTTAGCCCCCGTTTGACTGTCAGCACCAGCCGTTCTGTTAAGCGTCACTCTGCGGATGGTAGCGTGAGGTTGATCGATGCCGAATACCGCTGGCCTTCAGCAGCAGGTCGAACGCCCCCTCGAACTCTGTTCCCTGGTCAGTCAGTACCTCCCCGCATGCCCCCAGCCTGGTGATGACCATCTCCTCGAATGCCTCCGCCACTGCCTCTGACGTTTTGTGCACGAGCGGCCTTGCCTCTGCCCATTTGCTGATGTGTTCCACCATCAGGAGGATGTACCTCCTGCCCTTGGTCGTGTCCGGCAGCTCCCCCGCTATGTCCAGCGACCAGCGGTATCCCAAACTCACTATGGGCAAGGGCTGCAACTCTGCCTTCTCCCTTTCCAGCACCGCTCTGTTCCTGCAGCACGCATCACACTTCTCCACCCACTCCTTGATCTGCCGCCGCATACCTGCCCACCACCACCCTGTCTGAACTAGCTGCTGCGTGCGCAAGGGCCCGTAGTGTCTTAGCTTTGTGTGAACTTCCTTGATGATGGCTTCTCTGTCAGCTGGTGGCGGGACGTGATTCCACCCTTCTCCCGTGCGGAGCTGAACTTGCTCTTTGAACCAGCGATAGTGCTCCCCCCGAGCGCGGACTCTGGCTGGCACCGCTCCTTCCTCCGTGGTTGCCCCCTGTATCCAAGATAGTGCCTCCCGGTCCTCCCAGATGTCGGCTGGCCCCCCTTTGCTCTCTCCCCACGCCTGCCCCCGGTCTGCCTCCTTCGCCATGGCCATGAGGCAGGCTGACAGGCCATCCACATGCTGCATGGTCTTGCCTGGGCGGTGCCTGATCTCGAAATCATACTCCTGCAACTTCATCGCCCAGCGGGCGTTCCTCCCGGTCAGGTCAGGTGTCTGCATCAGCCACAGCAGTGGCTGGTGGTCCGTCACCAATGTAAACTTCCTTCCTTGGAGGTAAACCCTGAAATGCTTTACCGCCCACACTACCGCCAGCCCCTCCCCCTCGTATGACGAGTAGTTAGCTTCCGCTGCGTTACAGCTCCGGCTTGCGAACGCCAGGACCTTTTCCACCTCGTCCTTCATCTGCGCCAAGACCGCTCCCATGCCCGCGCTGCTCCAGTCGGTGTATAGCGTAAAGGGCAGGTCTGCCCTGGGCAGCTCCAGCACGGCCCCGTTCTTTACGGCTTCCATCAGGTCCTGTACTGCCCTCTCCTGGTCTGGCCCCCACTCCCACTGCCTGTCCTCTCTGAGTAGCTGGTTCAAAGCTGTGGCGCGGCTACTGAAGTTGGGCACAAACTTGCGATAATAGTTGAGAAATCCCAGCAGAGCCCGTAGGGAGGCCCGGTCCTTCGGTGTAGCCACCCGATCCAGCACCTCAACTTTTGCCTTCTGGATCCCGATCCTTCCTCCTTCCACTTCGAACCCCAGGTACTCTACCGTTGTGTGCCCGAACTTGCACTTTCCTTGATGGCAGGTGAGGCCTGCCCCCTGAATGGCGCTCAGTGTGGCTTCCACGCCTCTCACGTGCGAGCTGCTATCTGTGCTAAACACGATGACGTCGTCTATGTAACATGCTGCATTCTTGACCTCCCGTAGCACCTGGTCCATGACCCGCTGGAACTCTGGTGACGCCGACTTCAATCCGAAGGGCAGGAAGTTCCACTCGTATTGTCCATCCGGCCCATGGAAGGCTGTCTTCTTCTTGTCCGCTTTTGCTATGGGTATCTGATTGAAGCCCTGCCGCAGGTCTAGCGTGGTGAACACGAGCGCCTCGGCCAGCAAATCAAAGATCTCGTCTGGCATCGGCGTCTAGTAGCGCTTCATTATTGTGATTTTGTTGAGACCCCGGTAATCCCCACACATCCTCTTGGAGAGCACTTTGCCCGTCAAGTCTGTCTGTGCTGCTACCACTGTTGCTGCTGTGTATTCTGAATTTGATTTCCTAATGAATCCTGCCTCCAGCAGTTCCTGACATTTCTCCTTGCATATCTGCGTCTCCTCCGTTGTCATGCGCCGCCGCCGCTGGTAGACCGGGATCTCGGTCGTCAGGTCCAACGTCACCACCGCCATGTTACACCTCCAGCGAGTAAGCGAAAGCCGCTCGATGCTTTGCTAAGACTTCCTTCAACTTGGCGGCATCAGCTTCCGACACTCCCTCCCCGATCACCCACTCTGGCTGTTCCTCTTTTGGTGCTGGCTGCTCTGCTTCTTTCTTTCCTGCAGATTCTGCCCCCCCTCGCTTCTGTGCTGCTACCCGGCTGCTCGCTTCCTGCTTCCTCCGGAGCTGGCTCCTTCGTTGCTGCCATGAGGGCGAAGTCGCTGTAGCCGAACTCCCGTTCGTCTCGTTCTCGGCGCTTCTGCCTCTCAATTGCCTCTTCTAGCCAGTCGAAGTCCTCCCGCTTCTTCTCCACCGCCTGCTCTTCCCTTTCCCCCGGTAGCCAAATTTCCTCCTGCTCTGCGTATACTGCCAGTCTCTCATTCTCCTCTTCCCAGGGGTAGACCCACCTCCTCTCCAGGGGGTGGCCCCGCTCGTTGGAAACTCTAGGTCCTTTGGCTTCGCCGGGTCCAGGAACCGCCGCACCCAAATTTGCACATTAGGGTAGTGCGCGCGCTTGACATGCTTCCACCCAGTCCCCGTGCTACCCCCATCCCATCCCATTACGTCCCCACACACCCGACACGGACGACAACCATCCTCAAGCTCACCAAACATTCCCACAAGTAAACCAGGGTAGTGCTTCCCTGCCAAACCCTCAACCACCGAATCTTTAGGCAAATCCTCCTTTCGTTGACGCTTTGACGCACGCCCACGACTCCCCGCTGTCCCACCACCCCGACTGATGCCACGAGCATGCAACGGCGTAGACCCAACACCATCGGACCGTTGAGTGGGTGCATTCCCTGGCCCTGGATCGGGCGCAGCCTCGGCCGCTCTCCCACCACCACTGCCACCGCGCCCAGCCCTTGCAGCACTATGCGCAACCCTCCCAACCCTCCCCCCACCTCGTCCATCTACTGGGGGGGCCGCTAGCATACCCCCCACTGCGCCCCCCTGCATTGCCTACGGCCTGCGCACGCGCAGAAGACCGACCCTGCCCGCGACCAACCCGTCCCCCCCCACGACCCCCTCGACCCCTTCCTCCCCGTCCATTATCCCCTCCATGTTCCCTGGCATTGCGGCCAGCACCCTCCTCCTCCTGCTCTTGCACCTCCTCCTCCACATTCGCGTCCCCTCCCGCCCCCGCTGCAGAGTCCTCTGCCGCCGCCGCCTCGACCTCTGCTACAGTAGGCCTATACTCATTATCATCGCCTGTTTCATCACGGGTCTGCCCACCACCCTGCCACTCTCGATGAGGACTGCTAGGCCAGTAGGAATCCTGTTCCTCACCCCCTGCATCTCCGCCATCAGTCTCAACAGGGTGCTGTAGAGCACTACCTAGCATAAAGTTGGTTCGTGCTGCAGGTGTTTAAAGTCGATTAAAACTAGCACCTTGCAGAGCTCGTCCTTCTTCATTCCCATCTCCGCCTCCCTGGTTAGACTCCCCGTTCATATTCCGTTCATTGTAGCGCCTTCGCTGCTGAAGGTGGCGCCTTGGCGCTGCTAAAGGTGGCGCCTCCGCGCTGCTGAAGGTGGCGCCTTCGCGCTGATGAAGGTGGCACCTTCGCAGTGATGAAGGTGGCGCCTTCGCGCTGCTGAAGGTGGCGCCTTCGCGCTGATCAAGGTGGCGCCTTCGCGCTGCTGAAGGTGGCGCCTTCGCGCTGCTGAAGGTGGCCGCGATCGCGCTGCCCTATCGCGCTGCCTGATCGCGATGCTGAACCTGGCCGCGATCGCCCTGTCCTAATGCGGTGCCGCGATCGCGCATATGCGGGGCGGCGATCGCGCCAATGTGGGGCCCTGATCGCGCTGAGCAAACGCGGGGCCGAGATCGCGCTATTGCGGGGACGCGATCCCGCCAATGCGTGGCCGCACGCGCGCTGCTGCGCCCCTGGTCGTGCGACGCTGCGAAATGGCGGGAGCGCCAAACCCTAACCTGAAGATAATATGCAGTTTAAATAGTGCTAACATTGAAGAGTGAAGACTGTATGAGGCTCCCTAGTTGCAGCGCAGAAGTACTAGCCTTGATCTAGTCTAGCGACTAGATCAGAATGTCGAGGGAAAAAAAACCTAAAAAACCAACCGATGTTCAACCCCTACCCTAATCCGAAAACGGGTCGGGTAACCCTGTCATTTGACTGGGTACGCAACCCGGATGGGACGGGTCAACCTGACCCGGCGGGTCGCAAATACCCGTCACTAAATCACAGTGACGGGTCACGGGTCGACCCGACCCGTCCGGGTTTTCCCGACCCGACCCGGGCGGGTCGGCCTTCTCAGCATTCCTGACCCGTCCGGGTCAAATGCCCATCCCTAGGTTGAAATGTGTTGGGGCGGTGAAAACCCGGAATGCGTCTTTGAAAGCCAAAAACGCACGCGATGTTGGCGATTTCAGCACGAGGTATGTCGCCCTGAAAACGAAACACCTTTTGAATTTCTCTCCTCGGAAAATTTAGTCAGAACGCTCGTGGGTCCAGCAAAATGTCGGTGGTCCCACAAGGCACCCTCCAAATCCAGCCTGGGTCCATGACCCCTCGTCGTTTTCCTTCGCGCCACCCACAAGGCCACACTTGCGCGTGTGGCGAATCCGATTGCGGCCTTAGGCTGCGCGTGTGCACATGTTGGCACACTCTGGCGCCACTCGAATGATGGCGTCGAAATCGCAACAGTGCTCGGCACCGTCGCTTAAACCTTGACCCTGAAATCCCCTGAACACTCATGAACAAACACGAAATTACGTGAACACTCATCAAAATGCATGGACGCTTCATGAACACTCACGACATACCAGAACCCATGAAATGACATGAACCCACACCATCACTCACAGAAACTCATGAACATTCACAAGCGCAATGCTTCACAAAAATGATCATAACTCATGAACCGTAGAGGCAATTCACGAGCCGTAATCGCTCAAACGTAAAACACAGAAATGCGCGTCTCTCGAGCCACAAATTACCTTCGAATGAATAACTTAACCTTTTCTTGATACTCGGCGAATAGGCGGTAGGTTGACGTGCAAACGATATTTTTGCACCAACAATTTTCCTGTGCGGTAATCTCGTATCCGTCCTAGTTCCCTATAACTATTGGCATTTAAGGTACAGTGTTTAATAATACTCCTATGGAGCCTGTGGGTAGTGGCTCCACACCTTTGAGAAGTGGTGTTAGGGAAACATTTGTAGACCGAGGTGGGGGTGTGGAAGAGGAGGAGGAAGACGACCGTGTGCTTAATGATGCGTTAATGGCTCATGTGAACCTTGTTAATTACCTTGTGTGCGTATTTTGGGGATCTTGATATTAGTTATGGATTTTGTGTATTTGTGTCCTGCCTCTTGCCCCCTTTATTGTTTAACTTCCTCTGGTTATTTTTCCTGCCCATTTGTTTTTTGCCCTGCCTGGACAATCGTCCGGGGCGCGTGTGACAGAGGCTCACCTAAGCGACTAGCGTCACGGACCCTAGCATCCGAACCCTAACATCCGAAACCTAGCATCCGGACCCTAGCTCTTAGTTGCGGAAGACGCATCTAGCGTCTTAGACGCGTCCGTCTAGGCGCAGCGTCTAAGACGCTAGATGCTAGATGAGTCAGATTAGACGCAGTATAGATGAAAGCCCGGGTAGGCTAAAAAAAAGTTCGGGCAGACAAACAAATAATCTGTGGGGCATGGGGAGGGTGGGGGACACGCACGTATGTCACAATGGGGTCATTGTTTCCCCGTACCATAATGGTTTTCCCATTCTTAGATTTCACAATATGTTGCTCTCGCAAAGGAACTAGCTAAACCCTAAGGGTTTTCGAAAGATATTTGGAAGAAATGAACGATGGGGAGCACACATGAGGGATTTGTGCTCCCCAACCTCCTGGTGGTTAGCCATAAAGGTTGGGATTTCAAGATACCAAGCGGTGAAGTGTGGTTTGTGTTCAATTTTGGTTTGGGGGGTTTCAAAATTGCTTGGGGGGCTGGTTTATATGGTCGAAATGGGTGGGAAGGGGTTCTAATGGCGCGAAATTGAATTTCGCGTCAAAATGGTGAATTTTAATTTCGCGCGTGCGGATATTTTTTTAGCTGCCCGAAAAAAATAAGCCCAAGTGTCTAGCGTCTAAATCGTCTCGACGCTAGACGCAAGACGGGTCGAGCGTCTTCCGCAACTAGCATCCGGAGTCCGGACCCTTGCATTCGTTTTTTTTTTTTTGCCCTGCCTGGACAAGCATCCGGGGCGCGTCCAACAGAGGCTCACCAAAGCGAATAGCGCCCCGAATCCTAGCATCTGGACCCTAACATTTGAAACCTAGCTTCCGGACCCTAGCATCCGGAGTCCGGACCTAGGTTGGGAAAAACGCTAGGAAATTTTACATATCACGTATATGCGTTTACTCATAAACCGAAAAACGTTATACGGGGATAAATTCGCAATACGTCGCGACAGGCAGCCCGAAAAAAAAAAACACACACACACACACAAAAAACAAGGTTGCCACCCTTTTCGCGATCGGCGACTATCTGAAACCTAATTTTGACATTTGAAAGTCTAATTTTGGCATTTGAAAGTCAAATGCCTCCCCCCCCCCCCCCCCCCCCTCCACCGCACATAACCTCACGCCACCTCCCAAACCCAACCCTTCCCTTCCAACCAACCACAAGCAGCTTGGGCTTTCCCGACGGCGTGCGTGCGTACAAGAGCAAGGGGTGTATCACACCTTTTTATTATAGATCTCTTCTTACCTTGTAGTCGACCGCTAGTGTCGCAGGCGAACACTACTAGCCAGAGGAACGCAGGTCTGGCATTCCGCCGCTAGATCTGCGTGGATCTGGTATCGGCGTTACACAAACCATCTCTCCCTCCAGGAAATCCTTTTTTTCCTAGGCCAAGAGTTTATTTCCCTGCCCGACAGAACGTATTCATAGCGTTTTCTGAGGCTGGAATCCCAGCGTACGTACGTCACCGTATAGTCGGTACGCGTCTGATACGCCAGACGCGTATTTTCCAACCAAGATCCGGACATTAGCATCTGGACCCTATCATCTGGACCATAGGATCCGAACCCTAGCATCCGGAGTCCGGACCCGAGCATTCAGACCCTAGCATCCGGACTCTAGGATTCGGACCCTAGAATCTGGACCCTAGCATCTGGACCCTAGAATCCATACGCTAATACCCGGACCATAGCATCCGAACCCTATCATCCAGACCATAGCATCCGAACCCTAGCATCCGGACCCTAACATCCAAGACACTAGCGTCCGAACCCTCGCATCTGTGACCCTTGACGCGTCAGATCCAACATAGCTGTGCACGGGGATTTGAAGCTCTCGTCTCATCACGTCCAACTCACTCAACCCACACAGGAATATTGGCTTTAACTCTCTTGAGGGACCCATTCCCAACTCCATCTCTGCGCTCACGGCACTCAAAGCACTGTAATAGGCGCACTGGGTTTGCTCCACCTGCGTGCTGCTCTGACCACTGGGTGTTGCATGCCATGTGCGCATCACTGCTGGCACTCCTCCATTGCCCTTGCACTCTGCACGCCCACTCCTCCACCCTTCTGCTGTCTGCATCGCTTTGCCACTCTATGTTCCTCCCTCCTGTTGTACTTCAAATTCATGCCTTTGTTCCTTTAACCGCAAAACCCTAGTATGCTAACTGCTTCGGCAGGAATTACTAGTTGCACTACACAATGTCAACCCTTACTGTCTGAGTCGGTCCTCTGCATCTGCTTGCCTTCCAAAAGCCCTTCCAAACTCATTAATCCTTCTCCATTCCAGCTAGCGACCCTTACCAGCAGACATGGTTCTGAGCATCTCGTCTCATCACGTTTAACTCACACATCACACAGGTTTCTCCGCTCTAGCTCTCTCAGTGACTCAATTCCCAACAGCATCTCCGCTCTCACCGCGCTCAAATTCCTGTAAGAGGCACACTTGTTTTGCTCCACCTAAATATTCGGTTTCCGAAAAAATGGTCCGTTATTTACGGTGGCTGTTCACGCTTTTTTTTTTTTTACGGCCGTTTTTTATCGTTAGAGAACAATGGTCACCAAACGAAAAAAAAAAGGTTGGATACGTTTCGTCCTCTTCCTCCTACTGACTTTCGCCATCAATGTTGTCCCATAAAACGGCTGTTTTTTTTTAATCAAACTGAAATCATATTTTGGAACTGATTAAAACCGGTTAGAACGACCACTTTTCCCGTACAGTTTTTACGGGTGTTTTAAAAAACAAACAAACAAAAAACTCTGCATGCCCACTCCTCCCCCCCTCTGCTGTCTGCATCACTTTGCCACTCCTCAATCGTCTATGTTGCATCGACCTTTTGGTAAGACAAGGGCAACGAGGCGAGTAAAAAACTCGTCTCGTTTTTATTACTCGTTTTAGGCGAGTAACGAGTAGGGCAAATTGCATTTTTTTCTCGTCCGAGGCGAAGCGAGTAATACTCTCGAGTAAAAAATACTCGCCTTTTACTCGTGTTTTCATTGAGTAATTGTGATCTCGCGAGTACGATACTCCTCTTGTCCTGATCCCTGCAGCAGTGGGGTGAAGAATCAACATTTCTAGATCTGGCGGATCATTTCAGTACAACCCGCCAACCTACTAGATCTAGCATTTTAGATCGTGCACGGCCATTATGCAACCAATTAGAGGCCAACTATGTAAATCTATCCATGTAGATCTAGTCTAGTAACCAACTAACGTTTTATATCTTCTTTTGTAGATCGCCCTGGACTACTATTCGTCAAGCGTAATTAGGTAACTTGCACGCATGTTATAACTCGTTAAAAACGCTTTAATTCGGTTGTCTTTGGTTCTAAAGAAACGTCGGTTTAGACGGTCGTTATCAAACCAGCGGGGCACCAAACCATGGGACCATAACTAAGCAGGACGAAGGGGAGGCTGGGTACTAATTCATCAAGTTCTGCACATAGTTGTTAGCCCTTCCTTGCATGTTGCCCTTTGTGGCCATGATTGTGGCCATGATTTTTTAAAAGAACAGCTGAATTTTTTTATATGATCGTAAAAAACGGACTGTATTTTACGAGCCTCTCGTCTCATCACGTCCAGCTCACTCAACCCTACACAGTGATCTCAGCTCCAACTCCCTCGTGGGCTCCATTCCCGACAGCATCTCTGCGCTCACGGCACTTGCATCTCTGTAAGAGGCACACTTGTTTTGCTCCACCTAAGGTTGAAATATTCGGTTTCTCGAAAAAATGGTCTGTTATTTACGGTGGCTGTTCACGCTTTTTTCTAATGGCGGTTTTTTATCGTTAGAGAACAATGGTCACCAAACGAAAAAAAAAACGGTTGGATACGTTTCGTCCTCTTCCTCCTACTGACTTTCGCCATCAATGTTGTCCCATAAAACGGCTGTTTTTTTTTTATCAAACTGAAATCATATTTTGGAACTGATTAAAACCGGTTAGAACGACCGCTTTTACCGTACTGTTTTTTCGGGTGTTTTAAAGAACAAACAAACAAAAAACTCTGCATGCCCACTCCTCCCCCCCTCTGCTGTCTGCATCACTTTGCCACTCCTCAATCGTCCATGCTGCATCGACCTTTTGGTAAGACAAGGGCAACGAGGCGAGTAAAAAACTCGTCTCGTTTTTATTACTCGTTTTAGGCGAGTGACGAGTAGGGCAAATCGCATTTTTTTCTCGTCCGAGGCGAAGCGAGTAATACTCTCGAGTAAAAGATATTCGCCTTTCACTCGTGTTTTCATTGAGTAATTGTGATCTCGCGAGTACGATACTCCTCTTGTCCTGATCCCTGCAGCAGTGGGGTGAAGAATCAACATTTCTAGATCTGGCGGATCATTTCAGTACAACCCGCCAGCCTACTAGATCTAGCGTTTTAGATCGTGCACGGCCATTATGCAACCAATTAGAGGCCAACTATGTAAATCTATCCATGTAGATCTAGTCTAGTAACCAACTAACGTTTTATATCTGCTTTTTTAGATCGCCCTGGACTACTATTATTCAAGCGTAATCAGGTAACTTGCACGCATGTTATAACTCGTTAAAAACGCTTTAATACGGTTGTCTTTGGTTCTAAAGAAACGTCGGTTTAGACGGTCGTTATCAAACCAGCGGGGCACCAAACCATGGGACCGTAACTAAGCAGGACGAAGGGGAGGCTGGGTACTAATTCATCAAGTTCTGCACATAGTTGTTAGCCCTTCCTTGCATGTTGCCCTTTGTGGCCATGATTGTGGCCATGATTTTTTAAAAGAACAGCTGAATTTTTTTATATGATCGTAAAAAACGGACTGTATTTTACGAGCCTCTCGTCTCATCACGTCCAACTCACTCAACCCTACACAGTGATCTCAGCTCCAACTCCCTCGTGGGCTCCATTCCCGACAGCATCTCTGCGCTCACGGCACTTGCATCTCTGTAAGAGGCGCACTGGGTTTGCTCCACCTGCGTGCTGCTCTGTCCACTGGGTGCTACATGCCATGTGCGCATCACTGCTGGCACTCCTCCTCTGCCCATCCACTCAATACACTGGTTCCATCCGTTGCCGTTTGCATCCAATTTCCACTCCTTGTTCTGCCCTACTGCACCAACCTACTTGCTGTACTTCATTGAAGCTACGTGTTGTTTTGAACTCATTCCCGCCAGTACACAATCTCAACCTGAACAATCTCAGTCTGTTCTCTGGATCTGTTTGCCTTGCTGAAGCTCCTGATGAATCAATCCTTCCAAGTTCCAGCCACCCTATTTAAACGGGGTGTGAGCTCTAACTCCCACACAGGGATCTGAGCTCTAACTCCCTCACCGGCTCCATTCCCAACAGCATCTCCGAACTCTTATATCTCGGGGCACTGTAAGCCGCACAATGGGTTTGCTCCACCTGCGTGCTGCTCTGTCCACTAGGTGCTGCATGCCACGTGCGCATCACAGCTGACACCCCACCACTGCCTATGCACTCTGCATGGCCACTCCTCCCCTCCTCTGCACGCTGCATCGCTTTGCGACTCCATGTTCCCGCCTGCTGTTGTACTTCAGATTCATGCTTTTGTTCCTGAATTGGCAGAACTCAAATCCCTGAATTGGCAAAACTCAAATCCCTGAATTGGCAAAACTCAAATCCCTGAATTGGCAGAACTCAAAACTACGATTACTGATTCTCAACCTTAACAATTTCATTCAGTCCTCTGCATTTGGTCGTTTTGCTATTGCAATTTCAAACCAATCAATCCTCATAAGTTCCAGCCACTGCATCTTTCCTACCGTCTAAACCAACCATCTGGCTGGTCTTGATTGAATTCACGCATTCGTTGCTTTAGCAAAACTTATAAGTGCTACCCAATTTTAAACTTTCTTGTGTATTCAGCTGCTCCTCTAGATGTCCTGCTCTTCTGTACAGGGATGTGCACCAAAATGAATTTTCCGGGATCATTCCAGCCACACTTGGGAGTCTTGCTCAATTGGACTACCTGTAAGCTGCGTAGCTGTTCTGCATGTCGTGTGCACCATACTGCTGTCTGGCTTTTCTCACTTTTTATGTGCCCGCGTATTCACTGCGTACCGGACCTCTCCCAAGAAACATTCAGCGTTTATACGCTAGCGTATCATATGCAAACAGCGTGTATTCCAACTTAGCCTCCACTGGCGACAATGCAGACCCGATCCGCTTGCGACGCTGCTGCAGAGCTGCACCTCCAACACAACGCCTTTGGTGGCAAGTAAAGGCTCCCCACTAAAACGATTGTCGGCACCATGTGGCAAAGGAACGGGTGCTCGACGTGCCCCTCGTGTAGGTGCAGTGCAGCGTGGTAGAGGCATATCGCCTCATCCGCCACTGTTATCTTCGCGGCCACCTCTCCCTTGAGTAATCCATAGCGTTCTGCTTGTTAGAGGTGTGCCTCCAACCGAAGCAATCGTGGCACTCCCCGCTCTCGCTCTCTCAGCCCCCAGCGGTCTTCGTACTTGCTGCTTCACGAATAGCTCTCCACCTCCTTGAGAACGGCCGGACAAATTCGCACTTCGTGGCATCCTTAGTTTGGCCACTCGGTGAAATGCATGGTGCAACGACCATGGCTATGACTGATAGTGTGCTTACATGAGCGACACTCCACAAGCTTCCCTTTTACTACCTCCTCGGAATATTCGCAGTATTGGAATGAGTGGAATCGGATTCTTACACTATCGCCGCATTCGAGGAGTTTCCCACTGATTTCTCTTTGCTGATGCCGGCGCCAACGTTGCTAGAAGGTGTCTAGTCTCGGGTCCAGATCTCAAAACCCATCGTCATCGGCCTCATAGCACAATTCCTCCAGCGTGCGTGTGGCCCCTGCTGCGAGGAGGCTCCTGCCGCGCGTGTTCTGCTCCATCCATGACTTGATAGCCAAAAGTTGGCGCATGACGAAATTGGAAAATCGCCAAGTCGTCACGACCAAAGAAAACAAATAAAACCGGGCTGTCGAACACGATGGCTGTCGGGATGACGCATAAAGTTTTGGGCATCTGTGAAATGTTGATGTTGTTTTCTTGTAACTCAACCTCCGCAAATCAATGTGGTATTTAAACTCACAGGACATCCACTTTGTGGTGTGAACGAGGCTTGGTCCGGACGTCCACTTTGATGGACGATGGCCCCATTTAGTGACGACGAGATAGCTAAGAAGGATTAAAAGCTTGAAAATGAGCTCCAATCCCCGTTTCTTACCTGAATTTAAGCATGGGCATTTGACCCGACCCGGCCCGACCCGTCCCGTTGAGGGCGACCCGTTAGCTTAACGGGTCGGGTCGGGTCGGGTTAGCGGGTCGGGTTTGACTCTGTTTTGGTGACCCGACCCGCCCTGTGGGAACGGGTGTTTGTGACTCGTTACCGGGTCGGTTACACCACTGGTCGGGTCGGGTCGGATCAAAATATGTTACATAGCAGCAGGGTATGGGGGCTAGGTCTAAATTGCTACATTGTAAACTACATGTTACAACTATATTCTTAAGTTTATACGTACCTTACGTTAGCCCAAGGTGCATGAATTCCAGGGCATCCAAACATGAAATGCAGTAATTTTTTCGCTTCAAACAAATGTCTATGGCGTATGTCAATAGAACAACAACCCTGTTTGTGAAGTGAATGTCAATCAAGCATGGAAATAAATAAAATCTACTGTATCTCCAAAAGGGTTATGGCAAATGGCCTAAGGCCTATAGCGACCACTCCCGCAGCAAACATTGCTCAAAACCCATCGTCCTCGGCCTCATAGCACAACTCCACAAGCAAACGCGCAGCCCCTGCCACGTTCAATGACCTGCCGCTCGTGTTCTGCGCCATCCATGACTTGATAGCCATGAGGGCGCTAACACGAGGGGCGCTCAAGCGGTGACGCTGCCATGTCACTACGTTCCTGCCCTGGCTAAAAGCGCGCTCGCTCGCTGCAGATGTGGCTGGCACTGCCAGATAGTCCCGAGCCATTTCCCTCAAACCCTCTAAATCCTTCCTATCACGCCAGTACGCTAGCGGGCAACCCTTCTGTCTACCCTCAGCCAAGTATATGTCCACCTCGTCACTTCTCTGCCCCCCCCTTGCTGCCTCAAATGCATCCATCTGTGCAAAAAGCGCATTTTGGAAGCTAACCCCCCCCGCTGCCAGCGGCACGCGACGTCCCTGCGGCCTGAACACTAACACCAGCGCCGTCAGTGACCTCCCCCATGCCACTCGTAACCTCACCACCACCTCCCCGACTGCGCACCCTCTCCTGATATGCGACCAAACGATCGCGCACCAGGCGCATCACCGTCGGCTCATCCACGCCCTGCACACTCCTAGCACATCCCCCCACTTCTGTCACTTGCGCTGCATTGAGCGCCTCCCACTGGGGCATCTGGAAGAAGATGGTCTTGTAACGGGGGTCAAGGAAGGTGGCGATCGCCAACTCTTCCTTGGTGCCGTACGGGTACTTCTTCAGCTTGCCGAGGGCTTTGGTGATGAGGGCCTGTGTGAGGGGTGAGACGGCTGGCTCGCGGTAGGTGATTTCCATGTTGTCCAGCAGTTGGTTGTACAGCGGCACCACTGCTGCAGCTGTCGGGTACAAGGAAGCCTCAGCTACCTTGGTGATCGAGTGGAAGGGCTGAAGAAAGTTCTTCAGCTCGACAAGCGCGTCCCAGTGGACGTCACTGAGACGTATTTTGTCGAGCTGCTCGCGTAGCCTACAGGGGGGGGGGGGGCTGGTATAGGACAACAACAAGGGTGGTACAGAGGGTTCACAAACTTAGTATACAATGGTGATGAAGTTACTCGTTACTAGATGGGTCCCAACATTGAGCTGATACACCATCCATATAGCCTCTTCAAACATACCGACAAACTATGCTAGACAACTCAACCCCCTTTCAAATCCTGCCCATACTCACGACCCTTGGGCGCCACACCATTCTCCCACACTCACTATTCGATACAGTCACAACTCCTCCAGCCCCCGACCAGCTACCCAAACTCACCATTCAATATAGTCACAACCCTTGGTGCGCCACACCAGCCCCATATACTCACCATCACCCAACATATACACACTACCGGAGCCTATCACTCACGTCAGTCCGGCTGGAAAACACCGTCAGTGCCTGCTGCAGCTCCAAGGCACGGCAGATCATCTCGTAAGTGGAGCCCCAACGTGTAGGCGAGTCGCAGATCAGACGTAGCACCTTCGCGTTGTCTCTGCCTGCCAACCTGCGCTGCAGACTGGCAAAAGCCTCTGACCGCTGGACCGACCATCCAATGTACGAACACGCATCCCGTAGGCGTTTCAACGCCTCCTTCACATCGTCCAACTTCAATGCCTCCTGCACTGCAATGTTCATAACATGTGCAAGACAGCTGTGTACGAAGAGGGCATAAGGGAAGGAAACAGATTTAGCTAAGGTTGATGTCACCTCGTGATAAAGTTACTACTATAGTATGCTGCCAAAGTGCCACATTTGAATCGATGCATGACAGGACGTACCGAACGTGACGCGCAATGTCGAGCAGTGGATTAGCTGTCCAGGCCCCTGGCCCCTCTGCTGGGTCCCCCGACAGAAGGCGCATCGCCTTGTTGTTGTTCTCCGCATTGTCCGTCGTCACAGCAAACACTACATCCTGCAGGCCAGCCTCGGTCAAGATGCGCTCGAGGGTCTGTGCTATGAGAGACCCTGTGTGCGAACCCTCCAACTGCACGAAATCCAAAATCCCCGAACGTAGCCTGAAGTCACTAGTGATCCAGTGGACGGTCACACACATGAAAGCTGTATGGTTCTCACTGGTCCAGATGTCCAAGCTAAGGGACACCCTCCCCGCGAGACCGTCGCCAAAGATCTCCTGCCTCAGCTCCTCTCGAGCCACCTCACTGAATGCTTGCATGTCCCGTGCCAAACGGTAACGCGACCCCAGCAAATCCTTGGCCGATGGATTCAGCAAGGCGACAAATCGACGGAACTGGTGAGGTCGGGCAGGGACAAAGAAGCAAACACACACTAAGCATTGTCCCAGCTGTGTACCAGGGCATCCCAACCCAACTGAGATGTTCAGACAGGATTTGAGACTCCCGGTGCAGGAATAGAGGGTAGAGTAGTTATTGTTTGACTCACCGAAGCTCGGTCGACAAGACGAAACGGAAGATCCGCATCAGCAAATAACTCCACGAGAGCACTGCGTAACTCGTCCTGCGACACCCTTGGACTCATGAACGCGCGCATGTCAACACCACTACGACTCCCACTCCCCCCCCCCACTGCGCCAGTGCCCGCCGCGGCTGCAGCAGCTGGGATGTTCGGCCAGGCAGCCGCGTGCTCCCATGCACCACCGTGCGGGTTGGGCACTGTTGGCCCATCGCCCGACACGCCATAGCCGCCCCAAGGAAACTCTAGGTCCTTTGGCTTCGCCGGATCCAGGAACCGCCGCACCCAAATTTGCACATTAGGGTAGTGCGCGCGCTTGACATGCTTCCACCCAGTCCCCGTGCTACCCCCATCCCATCCCATTACGTCCCCACACACCCGACACGGACGACAACCATCCTCAAGCTCACCAAACATTCCCACAAGTAAACCAGGGTAGTGCTTCCCTGCCAAACCCTCAACCACCGAATCCTTAGGCAAATCCTCCTTTCGTTGACGCTTTGACGCACGCCCACGACTCCCCGCTGTCCCACCACCCCGACTGATGCCACGAGCATGCAACGGCGTAGACCCAACACCATCGGACCGTTGAGTGGGTGCATTCCCTGGCCCTGGATCGGGCGCAGCCTCGGCCGCTCTCCCACCACCACTGCCACCGCGCCCAGCCCTTGCAGCACTATGCGCAACCCTCCCAACCCTCCCCCCACCTCGTCCATCTACTGGGGGGCCGCTAGCATACCCCCCACTGCGCCCCCCTGCATTGCCTACGGCCTGCGCACGCGCAGAAGACCGACCCTGCCCGCGACCAACCCGTCCCCCCCCACGACCCCCTCGACCCCTTCCTCCCCGTCCATTATCCCCTCCATGTTCCCTGGCATTGCGGCCAGCACCCTCCTCCTCCTGCTCTTGCACCTCCTCCTCCACATTCGCGTCCCCTCCCGCCCCCGCTGCAGAGTCCTCTGCCGCCGCCGCCTCGACCTCCGCTACAGTAGGCCTATACTCATTATCATCGCCTGTTTCATCACGGGTCTGCCCACCACCCTGCCACTCTCGATGAGGACTGCTAGGCCAGTAGGAATCCTGTTCCTCACCCCCTGCATCTCCGCCATCAGTCTCAACAGGGTGCTGTAGAGCACTACCCAGCATAAAGTTGGTTCGTGCTGCAGGTGTTGGAAGTCGATTAAAACTAGCACCTTGCAGAGCTCGTCCTTCTTCATTCCCATCTCCGCCTCCCTGGTTAGACTCCCCGTTCATATTCCGTTCATTGTAGCGCCTTCGCGCTGCTGAAGGTGGCGCCTTGGCGCTGCTAAAGGTGGCGCCTCCGCGCTGCTGAAGGTGGCGCCTTCGCGCTGATGAAGGTGGCGCCTTCGCAGTGATGAAGGTGGCGCCTTCGCGCTGCTGAAGGTGGCGCCTTCGCGCTGATCAAGGTGGCGCCTTCGCGCTGCTGAAGGTGGCGCCTTCGCGCTGCTGAAGGTGGCCGCGATCGCGCTGCCCTATCGCGGTGCCTGATCGCGATGCTGAACCTGGCCGCGATCGCCCTGTCCTAATGCGGTGCCGCGATCGCGCATATGCGGGGCGGCGATCGCGCCAATGTGGGGCCCTGATCGCGCTGAGCAAACGCGGGGCCGAGATCGCGCTATTGCGGGGACGCGATCCCGCCAATGCGTGGCCGCACGCGCGCTGCTGCGCCCCTGGTCGTGCGACGCTGCGAAATGGCGGGAGCGCCAAACCCTAACCTGAAGATAATATGCAGTTTAAATAGTGCTAACATTGAAGAGTGAAGACTGTATGAGGCTCCCTAGTTGCAGCGCAGAAGTACTAGCCTTGATCTAGTCTAGCGACTAGATCAGAATGTCGAGGGAAAAAAAACCTAAAAAACCAACCGATGTTCAACCCCTACCCTAATCCGAAAACGGGTCGGGTAACCCTGTCATTTGACTGGGTACGCGACCCGGACGGGACGGGTCAACCTGACCCGGCGGGTCGCAAATACCCGTCACTAAATCACAGTGACGGGTCACGGGTCGACCCGACCCGTCCGGGTTTTCCCGACCCGACCCGGGCGGGTCGGCCTTCTCAGCATTCCTGACCCGACCCGCCCTAAAGGGCGGGTCGGGTCGGGTTACCCGACCCGTCCGGGTCAAATGCCCATCCCTACCTGAATTTGAACTTGCACTCAAGTTGCCCCTCCGAGCAGAGATTGAACAGGTCAAATTGGCCTAACAGGATCTTGTCAAACCAAAAATGATGAAAACATAACTCTACTTTGGTTCCACACAAACCGGTTTGCCTAAACCGAACCAAGGTTCGGTTTAGCCATGCCTAGTTGACAGCTATATAAATCTGTTTCTTGACTTGTGCATGCAATCATCTGCACACAAGTTGCCCCAAGCATATTCTCTCCTGTGCTGATCTGCCCACTTCCACTGCAGCAACACATCTGGCACCAGCCTCACTTGTCCTGCTGCTGACAGCACCACCTGCGCCCAAACCTTATCGCCAAAGGCGGCCTTCTGCCAAGATTGTGGCACCACCTGTTCTGCATGCCAGCAAGAAACAGGTTAGTGGGGTTCATGAAGCAGTGCCTAGTTTACTTGAATCACCCCCACTACTGCCATGCTTGTGCTGTTGTGAATGGCAGTTCATTCTCTTTGCTCAGATTACATCGAATCTCTTTGCTCAGCTGACATGCTTTTGTTGTGCTCATGTAGCAGCAGCACCACCAGCAGCACCAGCAGCAGCATCTGGAGGTGGAGGGGGTGTATCAGTGGGAGGCATCATTGGCATTGCTGTTGCTGCTGTGGTCGTTCTCCTCCTGCTTCTGGCTGCCATGTTGCTCTGCTTCAGGCACCAGAAGCGGCAAAGCTCAAAATGTAGGAGAAGCAGGATTGGTTCTCCATGTGTTCAGCTCAGGTCCCACCTCCACACCTTCTCAACGTTCCTGGTTAAGATGGTTCCTCTTCATGTCTACTCATTTTGTATGCGTGTGCTCAATAACAACAGGGCAAGACAAGGCGAGGGCTTGCTCATTACCTCCTCACCCTTCACCCCCCACCCCACGACCATGCCCAGGGGCCAGCCTGGCAGCCTCGCACTGCACGGAGTTCTCGCTAGCGGAGGTCCTCAAGGCCACCAACGACTGGTCCCAGGACAACCTGCTTGGCTCGGGTGCCTTTGGTGATGTCTACAAGGGCGTCTCTCCCCGCGATGCCACCACACCCTGGGCTGTGAAACGCGCCAAGCTCATGGGCGCGGAATTCCAGAGGGAGGTGAGTGAGCTGCATATGGGGAGGTGGCTGGACTGCAGACTCCGTCAGTCAACATGGGGATAAGACAGTTCGGTTTTCCATTACTTTCAAACAGAAAGACGCTTCATCTAAAATTTCGCTATCTATTTTGATAAGGACTATTCTTCTTCCTAAGCTGAGCGAGCAGAATCAAATTTCCTCCTTTCCTTCTCAACCTACTCTTTCTTTCCAGGCATCTTCCTCCTGTTCCCGTGTGCCGGTTATCTCTTCCTCCAGGTCATGCAAATGGCCGACAAGAACCATCCCAACATTGTGCGACTGCTTGGGTTTGCGGTGGGAGGGGACGTCAGGTCTAAGATAGAGCAAGTCCTCATCTATGAGCTTGTGTCCAATGGTGACCTTGAGAAGTGGATAGGACCAAGTAAGTGTGCAAGTCGTTGTGTCGCATTCCCTTGTACAATGTTACTCGTGGTAGGCCACTCATGCTGCCTGGTGATGCTTGTCATGAAACTCATCCCGTGGCTCATTGCAGATGCACCTGCTCCTCTGAGTCTGAAGCAGCGGCTAGACATCCTCATTGGTGTTGCACGTGGCTTTGAGTATCTCCATAGCTTCGACCTTGTGCATCGCGACATCAAGCCCGCCAACATCCTCATCACCAGCGACATGCAGGCAAGCGCGGTTGCAGCATCTCACACTGCATAACAAGATGCTTCTGTGGAAAGAAATGAAGAACTACCCATGAGAATTGCTAGGAATAGGCAGGGCCTGCCGAAATAATTGGTGTGTTCTAGTTTGGTTCGGCGAGTCTCTTTTTTTTTATCTAATTCTGCATATGGCTCACACTCACTTACACGTTCGAGATTACCGTGTCTGGGTGCAATTCTGGTTCACTGCCAATGACCAGCGTATGTCGTTTGTTTTGTCACCATTGAATTTTCTTTCTTTTGTGCTGGTGCATTCATAATATCACATTGTCCAACCACCCACCAGCCCAAGATTGCAGACTTTGGGCTGGTGAGGGTGGAAGAGGGCACGACAGTGGGCACGACTCGAATCATGGGAACACCGGGCTATGTGGATCCGGTTTACAACCGGACGTCCAAGGCCACCACAGCCAGCGATGTCTACAGGTGAGCCAAGAGTCGTATAAAGATCGTGCTATGTGAGCCGGAAGACTCTGGGAGATGGCTCCAATAATGGAGACTCCCGAGGATATAAAAACGTGGCATGTGCCTCGTCATGTCGATATTGGCTTATGCATTAGATTTGCACCTGGAACAAGCACGTAATGAAGCAATGCTAGTTGGTCAACCCATCCAGCCTAGTTGGTTGGATACTCAATTTATTTCCCTTCTTGACTGAACACCATCGACATCCTCCACATGTTATTTGAATTCACAAAAAAAAACAGTGGTCACATTCATGTCACCATTGCCTTGCTCTCACCATCGCATTGCTCTCACCACCTCTCGCACGTTGCAGCTTTGGTGTGCTCATGCTTGTGGTGCTCACTGGACGGTCTTTACTTTCCCAGGATGCTGGGGAGGCCAAGCACATTGTGGTGTGGGTAAGTTCCACTCAGGCAGCTTGTTGCATGTTGCCATAATCGCATTCTTCCAATTGAAGTGAAATATTCTGCTTCATAGGCTAACTGATGTTTTTTTCACCTTTGCAAACTTGCAATTTTGTCCATCCTCTTCCACTCTGTCAGGTATCCGAGTGCCTGTCGTCGGGTGGTTCAGAGAGCCTCAAGCACCCCACCATGGACGCCCCTGGGGATGTTGTGCAGTACTTGGCTGAGCTGGCAGTGAGCTGCACCGTGGAGCGCACTGCAAGCCGCCCAAGCATGGCGCACATTGCCACCCAGCTGCAGGCTGTCAGGGAGAAGGTGGCGGGGAAAGAGGAATCTGGCGCTGCCATCAAGGTGGATGCGCAGGTCCAGGAGATGAAGGATAGTGTTGCGGGTGAGGACAGCCTGGAGGCACAACTTCAAATGATTGCGGATAGGGGCAGCTTCAAATGATCATCATTGATCGTGGTTCATATGTGACATTGTTGCATTGTATGCATCATTCCAGCCTCCTGATTGCTTTGGGGGGCCCAAGGGACTGCCCTGCTGTTTGTGATACTTACCGTTACTTGCTCATTTTTACACCTTTTCTTTTTACACTATAGGACGGCTTGACTTGTCTTGAAATCAGACGCGCGGCAGCGGCTTAGTGGAGGGAAATCCTTGTTTCCACCTGAATCATAGGCAACCCTCCACGCCAGGGCTGACACTACGAAGTACAGACCTTGGAAAACTGCATAGGCTTCTATATGGAGCATTGCAGTTATATTCGGTTCTCAAATATAAGCGCACCCCCTAACAAAATGTGATTTGTTAAAAGCGCACCCCTATCACTGTAACAAACTTCACCTTAGCGGGCGAGTTCCAAATCCAGTCCCCTTCACTCTTGGGTCACTTGCTGCACGTCCAGTCAGAATGTGCTGCCATACTGGCTCTATGTGTTGGCCAAGTTGTGCGTGGCAGACATGGCAGACAACGTACAGACATTCGTCATCTCGTTCAACACCTGCCAACGGGTGAAGAGCAGCAAATAGAAAAAGGAAGGGTTACACCAGCCTCTTCCTATCAGGGCCCAAAATTGGTTTTGGGTCACCCTTTCGGATCAGGGTGGCAGGCCTCTTGTACCCTGACCTATAGGGTAAAACATTTTGTACACTGCAGGCAACAGCCTAAAAACTTCCGCACACTGAATCAATCAGTGTAAAAATCCTAGTACACTGATTCATATCTGTTTTTGCAATAACAACATTTACTAACAAGTAAATGACCATAACATCAACATCCAGCACACACATCACATCACCATCTACTCTGTGCTAAGCACACTTCCATCATCTACTCTGTCCAACAGGCCCCGACGGATCGATGCCCGCGCTGCACTGGCAATGCATGGCTGCGAGTGCAGCATCACAACGACTGCCAGCGGTTGCGTGGGACAGCACGAAGCTGTGCTGACGCGCTACGTGACAGAAATGGCAGTGGGTCTGGTGTGGCAAGGCATCAATTTCGTGTGCGCTTGCAAAAACAGCTGCGAACCTGGCGACTAGGATGCAATGGCGGCCCGCCGGCCAGGAATCTCAATGTTGCATCTGTGGTCCAACTCGACAAGTGAAACAGTGGGCCACTGGGCCGTTTTGTCTACACGTCAACTGTGTCCGAATCCTTGGTAAGGAAGATTCGGTAAAAGGGTAATGGAAATTGCACCCTGTTCAGAAAGGGTAAATGAAAGTTGTGTCAGTGTATAATATTTCATAGCCGTTTTTGTCTAGGGTAACATATGACATACCCGGATTCTGAAAGGGTAACTGGGAAAAAGCGGCCGCTCATAAGGGCAAACAGGGTAAAATACCTTGATAATTTGGGGCGTGTTTCCTATCCCCGAACAGCCTTGGCAAGTGGTTAGCCTAGACTCCATCACCGCGTTACCACCAGTAGCACCAACAACAGCACCAACAACAGCACCAACAGCCCCAGGCACAGCACCAGCAGGAGAAGTAGCATTGGTATATGGCAGTGTTGCGGGCGACACATGCTCCTAATTGAGAACGCGTGTGCCGTCAAACTCCAGGGACTACAGGGCAGCCTCGGCTCAGAGACCTGCTGTGCACTACACAGCACCAGGCCCTGTGTACCCCGCCACCACCAGCAGCACCTCCAGGTGCTCTAGCCCATGCACTGGTGCGGGGGTGCTGTCCTGGGAGGGCAGTAGAGTCGACGGGGGGACTTGATGAGGCTGGGATGGATGATGGAATCAACCACTAACATCTGCCCCAGCTGGTTTTGAGAGAGACTTGAGAGTACCGTGGGCAGAGAAGGAGAAACGAAAATGGTAACGCTAACCACCATAGGAAGCACTTCCCGGTAGACCAAAGCTCTCACCCAATGGTGCTTTAGTCTAGGCCACTGCGCCACTCGCAGCCTTTACCTGTCATGTCCTGATTTTCACCTTATTCAGTCCCTGAGCTGCGCATCCCAATATTTGCAACAAAGCAGCAATGTGTGAAGCACAGCGTTCTTCACTCAACTCCAACCCTTGCTCAAGGGATGAACCTCTCAAGGCACAATCTTCAACCAGGACGTGTAGCGTACAGTGGACATGTTGTGATGCACCTTGCCCTCCCCTTCCCAGTCCCTAACCTGCGGAGATTCACTACACAACGGGAGTGGACTACGATGGAGGGCACGGGGTTGTGCGAGTGATCGCAGCTGGCTAGTAGCATTCTTACTACTTGCTTGTGTTCACACAGAAGTTTGGCAAGAGTTTCTACTGAGGAATTGAAAGAACAACTTGCAATGAAAAGTTGATAGTACAATTGAGGCATGTACAACAAAAAAGATCTAGAATAGCATGCGGAACCTAGCAAGCACTCTGCAGGGCAAACTCTGGCAGCGCAGCAGAAGCGCGGCGTGCGAACGCTCGAGCATAACGATCTGCCAGCGTCGCACCGCAGGTGGTCTGCCAGCGCTGAAGTCGCAGGTAACTATCTGCATTCGCAGATTGCTATCTGCAGTCGCAGGTTGTCTGCCTGCGCAGATGTGCGCACCTACCAAGTAGGTGCAGGTTGGCGATTTCACCGTCAGGCACGTTGCGCAGGTGCCACGCAGAAAACGTGTCGTCGGTTTTGCCAGGTGCGCACCATCAACCACGTGCTGCCATTCTGCAGGTAGAACTTTGCCAAAACCTCATGGGCGAAAGTTCGCACGCCTCCGCAGAGTTTCGCACAACTCTGCATCTTCGGTCGATCAGCTTGACATCACTCGGTCGAACAACATTCCCCGGGAAGAGCTCCTCGACCCGAACTTTTCGACCATAGCTCTTTGACCAGAACCGTCGCGCAGAGCTCGTCGACCAGAGCTCGTCGCGCAGAGCTTGTCGACCAGAGCTCGTCGCACAAAGCTTGTTGACTAGAGTTCGTCGAGCAAAGCCTGCTCGACCGCAACTTCCGTCAAACTGCTAAGGCCCACTTCTTCGACCAATCCGTAAAAAACTTCCCGTCGACGGAGAGATCGGCTGCGCCCAAGCGAGGGCGGGGCCTTTCTCTTCGACACAACCCACCCCAACCCTTTTAGGTGGGACAGCACAGAACATCCCAATCGCTACACACTCCCCTCTCCCACATAAACCGGCTCCCCTCCACCCCTTGTTATAGACTAAGGACGGAGTCTATGAAGATTAGGTGCCTAAATTTCTCAAAATCGTTGGTCTCTATTTCTGGACAGAATAGTTGCGCTCACAAGAAACGCCATCGACGAAACGTTCACTGTCAAAACTTCACTAAACTCAGATATGATGTAGCCGTAGTCCTTGGCTACAATTCCCAATTTGAATCGTATCAAGAGGTGAAGTAAATCTCGACTTATCAATTTCGGCGCACAGGGGGGTATGCTCCCATAAGAACTTAACTCAATCACAAGAATCTCACATAAGTTCACACAAGAGAATTAGAGTAGCACTAAACCAGGTGGAAAGGATGAGGAGGACGAGAGAGAAGATCCCAAGAGAGCCCCCAACCAAGGAAATTCCATGCCACACAATTCCCTTCCCCATCGGCAACCCAACTTTGACCTTTGTCACTATCCCAATCTCCACAATCCACCTCAACTCAACTTGGCCACTCTTGCCAACCTGGTTTGGTTTCTCCCAACCACTTGGCAGCAGCTACAGTAGAAAGGAAGAGTCTCCCAACCCCCAAAATTCTGTACCCCATATTGAGTCAACCCCACAACTTCCCACGGTTGCCACAATCAAATATGAAAAACATACGAACTCCAACGTTCGTAACTTTCTTGTTCGTGCTCCGATTGAAGCGATACTTGGTTCGTCGGAAAGCTCTTGAGTAGAGGAGTCACTTCAGATATCTGCTCAAGCCAAATAAAATTCACACACACTCAAAAAAACCAAACAGCACAAAACACAAATTCTTGCACACGCTCACACCACGCATGCAGCGCACGAGTACATGATGGGAGGCAGACAGACGTGAATGCATATGATTGCATCACACAACACCCCTCCCTTCCCTACCCTATCCCTTTGCCACGCTTTCCCCTCCCCTGCCCTCTTCTGACTTCATGGGCCCGCCACTCCATCCCCACCCTCCCTTTCCAGGTAGGACCGCAACGTGGCTTGGGAATTTGCATGGTACATGTCTCTGTTCGACAAGGCAGCGCAGCATATCGTGAACACGGGGGGCAGCGCGGTCACATGCAAGGCATCCAGCACGCTGCTCAGAAGCTCAGCGTGGTGCTGCGAGGCCATGTAGACGAGAGGCACACTGTGCCACAGCTGCTGCACCTGGTGCTGCCGAGGAGCAGGCTCATTGTGATTCTCCGGAACCCCGTGGATCGGTTCTTCTCTGAGTTTAACCTCGCTGCTGCTGTCAACCCATCCCTAGGGACTCTCATAAATACGTGAGTGCACGCACTGAACTGTATCAAATCGCAACACACCGCATTGTATTGCACTATCTCCCCCCGCTCTCCCGCATCTCAATTGCTCCCGGCCCCCTCCGCCACCCCCCACACCACACATGCACTATGCAAATCAATCTCGCTTTTCTCTATACCCATCTCACACACAATGATGACTCACCCTCGAGTGGTCTTTCTATCGATATACGGGGGCACGGTGCAATTCAAGGTGACGATTTTATCAGCCATGCTATGCTATCCTTAGAACCACTCTATTCGAGCTTGCAGGTATGGTGTCCTTCAGACACTCCAAGGAAAAAGCCTCCGGCTTCCCCTTCACCCCCACTCACCACCTCCCACCACGTCCCTTGCATCCCAGTCTGAAGACACCATAGCATAGGTGAGAGTAATTGTGGAGAAGAAAGGATTGCATGCATTTCTAAATCACCACAACACCTCAAGGCACATGCAATTCCCCTTTCCTGCACCTTCCCCTAATTTTCTCTGCACATCTCCTCATCCCCCCTTTTGTGTGCACCTTC